TTTCTTAATTCCTGTTCTTTTATTGTTCTCTCCCCTTAATAATGTTTTTCTTTTTTTCATATTCCTTCACAATCAGTAACTTCTTGCATCTTAGTAGCCTGATTGCTTTGCTTGTGGTGAAATGATTAAAATATATATAATTTCTTTCTTGTTTACTCTTTTCAGGCATTACATCTGTGTGCCTTGGACAGTGGTGAAAATATTGTAAGTATCTGAAGTGTTTGGAGTGTCTTTTACTTCCATGGAAATCTTTTGAAAATATAAATTTGAAAATCTTTGCAGCAATCTATCAATTATTCCAAAATCAGTTAATGATAACACAAAGAATAATTTTAGAGAGTTGAATGAAAAGATGCATTGAAAGTCTGGACTAAAAATGTTTGTACATTATCATCATTTGGTAAATTAAAATTTAGGTTGAGTGCATAGGGTAATCCTCAGATTAAGGTTATTAAAATTTGGCATGTAGATGATTGACCCCACTGTTTAAACCAAGAGTTTATATCCCATAACCCACCAAAAGGAGATGATGTGTATAAGGTCCTGAAGTATACAACTGGGTTTTCCTTCTTTTAAGTAAATGACTAAGTGGTCTTTAGAGGTCTGCTACTTCTGACAGTATAGCTGATATGTGTGTAAATAGTCAGTGGATTAAGTCATCCAAAAAATATTCCTTTTAAAGCTGAAAAAAAATAAAATGGTTAAAAAAAAAAAAAAAAAAAGGTAAAATATTGCTTAAATTTGTTGATCAGAATCATGTTGGAATTATAAAACTTACTTTTAATCATTAGATGAATTTGATTAACTTCCAAAATAGGAAAAAAATAACATTCAGGAGAGTGACTCCATTGCACCTTCTTGGGCTAACATTTTCCGCTAACATGAGGTGGAAAGATTATATTGAATCATCTGCTATACGTGTTGCTTGGAAAGTTGCTTCACTGTATCATGCTAGACAATTTTTCTTGCCTGAATTTATCTTACTTATTTATAAGTCTGCTATTCATCCATGTTTAGAATATTACTGCCATGTATTGTCTGGTGCTCTTGCTATATATTTAGTGATTCTTTACAAAATCCAAAGAAGAATCTGCAATGTCATTGGTCCTGACCTGGCATCTTGGTTTCACTCCCTTTCCCACTGCAGTAATGTAGCTTCTCTGTGCATTTTCTATAAATACTTCATGGCAATTGTTTTGATGAACTTTCCTCTATGGACAAATTGTGCATATAGGGACTAGTTAGGAAGACCCTATGACTGGCAACAGGACTCTGCATTAGGCCATACAAGCAGGAGAGCCCAGTCATGGCTCTCAGATGATTTCTGTGACTACTTCACTCCTTACATCTGGCCACCTAACTCCCCAGACTGCAAGCCCTTAATTATTATGAGTGGGGCACAGTTGAGCGAGAGACTAACAAAGATAAACTGAAGGTAAGGATTATGGCAGCATTCACGAACGTAAACAAGCGGACCATCCAGAAGAGTTGCTGGAGATTCCAAAGTTGGCTGGATGCCATGGTTGAAACCAATGGCAATTTTATTGAATAAATTTTCTCTTTAGTATTTCAAGATATTTTTGTGTAATTTTGGTAAATATAAATGTTTGAGAAGTGTTATTTTCAATTTTGCATCATTTAGACGACAATTTAACCATCGCATCCTTATCTGTTAAAATGAGATGTCAGTGTTATTTTCAATTTTGCATCATTTAGACGACAATTTAACCATCGCATCCTGTAGATCTGTTAAAATGAGATGTCAGTGTTATTTTCAATTTTGCATCATTTAGACGACAATTTAACCATCGCATCCTGTAGATCTGTTAAAATGAGATGTCAGTGTTATTTTCAATTTTATCATTTAGACGACAATTTAACCATCGCATCCTGTAGATCTTTAAAATGAGATGTCAGTGTTATTTTCAATTTTGCATCATTTGACGACAATTTAACCATCGCATCCTGTAGATCTGTTAAAATGAGATGTCAGTGTTATTTTCAATTTTGCATCATTTAGACGACAATTTAACCATCGCATCCTGTAGATCTGTTAAAATGAGATGTCAGTGTTATTTTCATTTTTGTTTAATTGATATAATTTATCTATTGCACCCTGTATTGTATATTATGTTATGAATTTAACCAATTTCTTTTAATTTGACTATAAATATTTTTTGTATATCCCACATATACACCCCACATATATATATATATATATATATATATATATATATATATATAACAGAAAATGAATGACCTTTTTGACATTTTTTCGAAGGTGACTGATATGTGGTTAAAAATTATCTCTTAGACCCCTTACGAAAATGGTCACCCCAGCCATTTCCATAGTAATTAATTTTGCAAATAAACATACTTTTAAAGATGCGTAAATTTCAAGATTGGTTATTCCTAAATTTTCGCTTGAGGATGAAACAGGGCTTGATACTTTAACTCAATTTAATTTTAATAATTATATTGAGGTTTTTGGCTCTTGGTTTTGAAGCATGAGAACTCTTATGTAGCAAAGGAATCATATTTTTTTAAAATAATTATAATATAAATAACTTTGGCACATAGAACACACAGAGATTTTGACATTGAATTTTAAAGTAAAAAAAGTGCATCTTATGCATTAAAAAGTATGGTATTTTAGCATATTCCAAAATCCAAATTTGAACATTAACATTATTATTTCTATGTATATAAATACATGTTTCTCAATAAATTTTACATTTGTCTTGTTGAATTTCCTTGATATTCCTGTTATTGATAATGTCAGCATCACTATAAGTTATGTGGAAAATTATGTCTCTGATACCAAAACTGATTTAATAAGGCTCACTTGTATATTATAGACTGGGTTCTATAGCCTTGGATGGCAACTGGTCTACTGTAGAAAGAAATGGTAACCTACTGTGGGGAAAAAAAATCTGCCTCGTCAGTCATGTATCAAAAGGTACATGATCACCCAAGTGTGTATCATGCATGGCACATAACTGACTGATCAAAAACAATTACTGAATTTCCTACAAAAAAAAAAACGACCATAGTTAAAGAACCCATTGTTTAATTTTAATGAAATTTGGCATTGCACTGGTCAGGGGTATAATACCCTTGGGAAAGGTATGAATCCTCTTCTCCCCACAAGCTATGGGTAAATAGCAACACAGACTGGGTTCTATAGCCTTGGATGGCAACTGGTCCACTGCAGGGGGAAAAAAAAATCTGCCTTGTCAGTCATGTATCAAAAGATACATGATTACCTAAGCATGTATCAAGCATGGCACTGGCATTGTATATTGTATAGAATATATAAAATTTTCTCCCACTATCCAAAAGGTGAGCATTCCTATGAAACTTTTCATTGTCTGAAATGGTTCAAAATGAAGAAGTAGTTCCCCTTAATTTATAAAGGGAAAACTTTTGAGCATTCCAAGACCCCAAAATTAACTTTTCAGTGCTGCATTAATTAGACAAAGCCATGATGTTAATTATGAAAGGGCAGATACAGGGTTAGATGGGTCAGGTCTGCAAGTTGTTTTGAGTACCTATGAGAAAGTGTATGACGTTGAGCAGCCAAAAAAAATCAGTTGCATTTCAAGCCTTTTTACCTCTGCTACAGCAGGTGATGAACCATGACCTTTTACATTGAGGTGGACAGATAGAGAATGTTATTTTTGTGGTCTGGGAACACTCTGAAACTTTTCCCAGATAAATAAATAATAATCACTTCTTTGCTTCACACTACCATTTTGGATAGTTGAGTAGTACAGATCTTTCATTAAGAAACCTTCAAAAAGCCAGATGAATGTATAATGGTGTAATGGATAGCAGCTCGGAATGAAAAATTATAAAGTTAAGTTTGAATTCCAGTCACATGCAAATACTTTTGGGAAAGGTATGAATCAATCTCCTACGCCAGCTATGGGTTAAATAGCAGAATTTGAAAAATCACTGATATTCTCAAAAAAAAAAAAAAACTTTGTTAATGCAATATTCATTTGTTAAAAAATATTATTCTTACAATCCAAAATATGTTTCAGCTTTAAAACCCAAACAGGGTTGATAAGCTGAAAAAGTCCAAAAATCAATCAACCGAAAAACAGGGGTGAACATATATCAAAAATCATTTCAACAAAATATATCATGAAACGTAAGTAGAAGAGCCAACTCACAAATATTTTTTATGAATTTATATCTATATATTTTTTTATTTCAGCACCAATATCACACAAAAATTGAAGAATTTCTTGAAAAAGTTCAAGCACAAATGGGAAAATGCCTGGTGGAAAAGGTATGTTCAGTATTCACTCATCTTAACTCATATATAATGTTATGATAACCCTGTAGACTTCCCTGTGGAATGTAGAACTACAGTCTTGTCCCATTGGGTATTACGAGGGTCATTCAATAAATTAGGTGAATTTTTCTGTATAAGGACTTCTAATACAGGTAGAAGCTTACTTTTTTTTTTTATTTTTCAACATAGTCTCCCAGCACTGTCACACACTTTTCCCATCTGTGCACAACCTTCCATATTTCCTCAGTGTAAAAATCTTTGGACTTCACTTCTGTAGGCCTCCCAGGCCTGTCTTCATCCTCAATACTGCTTCGTCCTTCTTTAAACAATTTAGCCCACTTTTTTGGCTGAAATATGTGGCACCATACACAGTTGATATTCTCCTATGAATTTCAACTGGTTTGCACCCTTCAGCAACCAAAAACTTGATAACTGACCGCTGTTCAATCCTGGAGCATGCTTCTTGGTCGGCCATCTTTGTTAATCGCCAAAACTCTCAAAGTTTTTTTTTTTTTTTTAATCTGCAAAAGAAATTAAATCCATGTGAAAAAGAAGTAAAACAAAAAAAAAAATTAAAAAAAAGTAAGCTTCTATCTGTATTAGAAGTCCTTATACCGAAAAGTCACATTATTTATTGAATGATCCTCATACTTCTTCGGTTTCTATATTAAGTACTATTTTTATGGGATGGATTTGCTCAGGACACCTAAATCTCTGACTGGAGAAGACCCAGACAATACCTTGTGACCATTGCCATCTTATCAACATTTGCTTTTTCCTTCTGCCCCACCCTATATATATATATATATATATATATATATATATATATATATATATATATATACAAAGAAATATACTCTTAAAGTATGCTATATTTATGGGATGAAGTGCTCAATATCAGAGATAGAGCATGTGTAAATATAAAATTGGACACTGAGGTCAACACTTAGAGGCAACATGCTGTTTCATGTTAGATGCAATCGTCAGGTGGCTTGATGATTGCATCTAGCATGAAACAGCTTGTCGCCTCTAAGTGTTGACTTCAATGTTCACTTTTATATATATATATATATATATATATCTGTTATAAATTAAACTAAGTGTAACTGACTATTAAAGGATGAAATTTTTTTACAAATTTTGACATCATTGTGAGGACTGTTTTTTTTTTTTGTACAAATCCATGAATTTGATTTGCTCTCAAAAAACACTATATAGAATTCACTATTTTGCATCCATAATGTTGAATATGGAAAAAATATTCAACTTTTTAATAAGAAAAATCTCAAGTTCATGTTAAAAATAGCTACAAAACATTGTTGATTTAATTAAGTTGGAATGATCTATTATGACATGTCTCTAATTTTTATTTAGATACATTGGATTTATTTTCAATTATTCTAATTGAATTGTTCCCCTATATTGCATCAGATCCATTATTAGTAATAATAATTAGGTTACAATAAAATTTGTATTTTAGATGAATACTACCTTATAAAAAAAATGTAGTGGAGTGGTGGGGAGGCTTGTATCATATTGGGTGGGGTACAAGACCCTTGCACTGGCCCTGGAGTTGCTAGCCATGCACTAAAGTGGTTTTTGAGTTATCCTTCTTCTAGACTGGCTGCCAACTAAAGCTAGAAAGCCTAGTCTGCTCTGTTGTTAACACATTGCTGAAGGGAGTGTCATGGAAATGTAACATGAGAGAAAATAGTAGAAAGTGGGTTCAGGTCTTATGTATAAATTATCCCCAAAAGAAAATGGTGGCTTTAGGAGTCATATATAAGAAACAATAGATATCAGAGTTGGATCCATTTTGTAAGATTCTTTTTTGCACTTATGCAAATTTAATCTGTCACTGAAGCTACAAAAAAATGATGAGGCAACAGAGCAGTCCAATTGTGATAGCGAACAGAAGACACGTGTGTTGGGTTGTTTGACTTAAGCTATGCTGCTTACAAACAGATTAGGGAACTTTATTCTGAGCACTAAGAAAAAGATGACAGAAAGAGATAGATTTATATCAAACCAAGGGTATTTGTGTGAAAGGGAACATAACAACCTCAGCTGGGATTTGAACTCTACATGTCAATTTCACCTTTGCCACTGATAACTGCTGAGTTCAAATTCCACTCAAATTCATTACATTCACTTATTTGCTAATACCATTGGAAAAGGTATGAATCCATCTCTTCTCCCCCAAGCTATGGGTAAAATAGCAGGACTTAAAGCCTTGAGTGGCAACCAATCTAGAAGAAGGAAACTGAATTCAAACCAGGTTGCACTATCCTAAAATTTTGTATACATGTGAGTGGATACTGCTTATGAATCCAAATTACCACTGAAATTCCTACTGTTACCATATCCTTGGATGTGACATTAAAAAGAGCCTAATGGTCCACAGGGAATGAGAGGAACTAACATGCATATCCTAACCTTAAAAATATCCAAAATTTCAATCCACTGGCTGCAGGAAGCAAATAATATACAAATGTATAAAATTAGTTATTTGTTCATCTGTCTATATTTCTGAGATGAGGCATTGTAACTATTTACATTGTATTCATGACATTTCGGCCATTGTATGCTCCAACTTTCTTTAGGGAATATATGTTGGGATTTTGAACTGAATTCTGTGGATAAAAAGTGTTGAAGTAATCCAGTGACTTTACCCAAAGAGTTGTGTGTTCAATACCTGACCACAACAGAGGTGAACAAGAAAGTTACTAAAGGGAAATAACTGAAATTGAGATATCCAGAAAAGGCATGGCATGTGGAACTACAACAATTTGCTCCAGTTGACAAAGGGTTCAGTCTGAAATTCCATTGTATATCACCTGAAGAAGGCCAGAGTGTACAATGGCTGAAATGTCATGAATATGACAATAAAAATGAGGACAACAGTCTGAACAATGTAAATAGTGTAAATCCCATCACCTTTTTAAAATTTGTATAATTTTATATTTAGAAAATTAAATTTTGAATTCTTTTTTTTACTTCTAATATTTTTCAGCTTCTGTCAGTCTTGGAATCAGTATTAAGCAAACTGGCACGTTATGATGAAGGCACGTTCTTTTCATCAATCTTGTCACTGACTGTGAGTATCACATACTGGTTGCTTTTTTTATTTTTTTCCCCAATTGTTTGCTGTTTCAAGCTCATGCAAAGTTGGTATTAGGCTTAGACTAGATGCAGAACGTAGGGATTATTTTCAAATTACTCATTAAGTATCTTTAAATTCATAAAACTTATCTTTAGACAGATATATAATAAGGCAAGATTCAATTACCTACTTAAGAACTGCACAACTCTCACTGGGACATTCCAAAGTCTATATCTGCCAGCTTCAGATTTGTCTTTTAACTGTAAATGAAATAATACTATCTCTCACTGGGACATTGCATTTTTGGAGATTAAAGCTAGCCGGAAAGCATGGAACCAGAAGAGTTTCACAAGTAATATCTATCAGCTTCATTTTCATACCTGAAACATAAACAAAGTAATACAAAAATAATACTAGCTGATATAGACTATATATGTCCTAGTGAGAGATGTGTATTCCTTGAGTAGGTTACTGAGCTTTGCATTATCATAAGAAGCACAGTGGAGTAATTGATAGCAGCTCCGAATGGGAAATCGGAGAGCCGAGTTCAAATTCCAGTTGAATCCATTACATTCACTTACATACTAATACCCTTGGGAAAGGTATGAATCCTTTTCTTCTCCCCCTAGCTATGGGTAAATAGCAAGACAGACTGGGTTCTATAGCCTTGGATGGCAACTGGTCTACTGTAGAAAGAAATGGCAACTTACTGTGGGGAAAAAAATCTGCCTTATCAGTCATGTATTGAAAGATACATGATCACCTATGCATATATCACGCATGACACATAACTAACTAACTAACTGACTGACTTATCATGTTATCCTCTAATCTAATTGATAGGGCACACTTCAGACAAGAAGTGTGTGTATATGATGTACTTACTAGTAGCAGATAAGACAGATCATGTTTTTCTATTCAAATGGGTATCCTCATTTTGGTTGTTATATATACAACATTTCACCTGTTTCACCAAAAGATACATGGCCTAGTGGAGTAAAGTTTTGATTAAAACATATCTGGTTTCCAAGCTGTTGAAAGTTCAATCACAGAGTTTGGTAATGTGTAAAAATCATGCACTTTTGTTCAATGTAAAAGGGTCCCTCCTTTGACTCTCCCAGGGTAAATTTCTTGGAGAGCTCTCCATCTCACCCATTCTTTGATGGTAGGTCATGTGGTGAGGATAAACAAGCCTCCTATTCAATGAACTTGTCTTTTGCATGCATGATGGAAAGTGCCATGTATGCAATACAAAGACTCCTTGTAAAAGACAGCAGAGATATATCAACAGGGAAACATGATGCCATGTGGTCTAGCAGGCAGCCTCCACTGCTGAAGCAAGTCACAAGAGCTGAAGGTAAAAATAGTCAGTGTAAAATCAGAGAACTCCATCTCAATTGGTTGCCAGATTTTCTCTTGCAGCCACTACAGGAAGATTAACTTATCTTATGTGGCTTTGCTAGCCGTCTGAGGAACTGTAATATGCATCTCTGTTCCCAAACCATAACTTTACAGTGTCTCCAAAATTAAACTTCTCTCTATTAATTACCTGAGAGATCCCTTCCTGCCTCCCATCAGTATGGCTGATGCTAACCTCCAGCAGAGTGACTCATTGCACCTTCTCAGACTAACATTCTCAGCTGACATGTTAATTGTTCAGATGAACTCTTTGCTATTGTACCTAGGCTTTATGAATTTAAACACAGTACTAGATTGGCAACAAGGTCTTATCAATTTATAGTTGAATTGGCTAGATGTAATCATAAGTTTCTTTTCTCAACACTTTTTGCTTTTTTTCTGTTCCCTGCTTCCTGGCTAACTTTGATCTCCAAAAGTTTAAATGCAATGTCAATCATTATCTGCTGTCTTCTTGATTACTTTTCTATTGTTTTTGTTCCTTAATAATGTTTCTCTTTTGTCTTATTCTTTCACACTCAGCAACCATTTAGTGTCTTACTGGTTTTACTGACATATTAGAAAGGGTTTTAAAAATTTTGTAGATAAAAGTAATTTTTTCTTTTTTCTCCAGAAACCTGTAAATGAAATTGGAAAAGCTTATGTTGACTTCATGCGAGGAAATTTAGAACAACTACGACAGAGACTTGCTGATGAATTGTTAACACTTAACATATTTGAGGTAAGTAATATAGAAATTTTCATGTGAGTTGAGATTTTTTAAAAAAGAGCATGATGTTCAAGTCACTGACAAGGATGATGTCTTTTCTATTACTTTCTTAAATTTTGTTGGAAGTTTTACAGCATAAATACTTAATTTGGTTTTGTTTACTAAGACTTGTGGAAGGTTGGGAGTTGAAAACTTTGGCCTTGTAAATATATTTAATTTATTCAAAAAGAAAAAAGCAGATAACAGTGCAAATCCATTTTTTTTATTCCGGAAATGATTGAGATGATATGCAAAAATTGTTTTTATTTCTTTATGAAGACAGTTTTTGTATTACAGGAATTAGACTAGATACAGGAAAATTTTTTAATGACTTCAACTTGGAGAGTTACATCCTGTTGCTACCCAGACTATCACACTGACTCACTACTTGCTTTGGTTGCCCTTTTATTTATAACTCATGTGAGGGCATCATGGTAGATACTTAATGCACCTGAATATTTAAATGAAAAATGTTATCTTACTTATTATAAAACGCAGATTGTGTGTGCGTGTGTGTCTGTAACGTTTATATATTGGATCGAATTTCCTACATTTTTTAGCCGATTTCAACAAAACTTCACAGGACTACATAAAATTACCTTGTGATGGTTCTAACGGTGTTGAAAATGGGAAAAACAAAATTGTTTTTTAAGAAAATCAATTTGAAAACACGATTAAGACACATCGTGAGAATGAAAGGGGGACAACTCACCCACGAAAATGTAAACAAAAGAGCATAGCATGATGAAAAAAAAGCCGTGCTTGATGAAAAAAAAAATTTTATCGTCTAATGTTCATATTATTATTAAAGAGGAAAGATCAAAATTTTAGGGGTATTTTTTTTTACATTTTTTAAATGTTCCTAGCACGTCTGAAATTTTTCGTTAAATATATTGTTTTATTTTGGTCAAAAAAAGGACAGATAATCAATCATTTTCAATCATTTTTTCGATTAAAATCTGATTTTTGATATTCTTTTAAAAATCAATTATCATTTTTTCAAAACTGATTTTAATAAAAACAGAAATTATACTGTTTATTTAAAATATCTTGAACCAAACTTAACTTAGCTTCTGCTAAAAAAAAAAAGTAATTTGAAAATAAAACAAAGCAGGTCATAACCTTTTCGCGTCGCTTGACGAAAGGCACATTCATGACGTTTAGATAATTTACGGAGGATAATTCTTTCTTCAGATGGAAGGAAGTGAAATTATTTAAGTGAACAAATTATTTACCTCGTTACTTTTAAGGAAAACTTTCAGCGCTCTAATTTTTTTTTTTTTTTTTTTTTTTGTACTTAGCTTTCATTTTTACGTTTACGATGCTTTATGGAAAATATAAAGAAATTAAAAAAAATAAGACTGTTAATAGTGAGATTAAATTTCATAAGAAAAAAGGTATCTAATTAATTTAGGTACCTTTCTTATGAATTTTTTAGAAAAGTGTACATAAAATACTATAATTTTATGTACATTTATTACATTTTACTGTGTTATTTGTATTTCCATTCATTTTATTATTAATTTTGTTTGATATTTCATTTATGGAAAAATGTCATAACTGAGATTAATATAAAAATAAGATCATATAAATTAAAGTTTAGCAGTAGTTAAATTTCATAAGATGACACTGTTACTTGTAGGTACCCTTCTCAGTTGAAATTGAAAACTCAAATTAACTTCTCCATACGTGTTTCGCAAAAGTAAAGGGCTTAACAGCGGAGAACAATGCTGAACTCAAATAATGCAACTAAATTGTATTCTGGTTGGTCTTCCGTACTTGATAATTACTGTCCGACTATAAACACAAAAATTACATTTCTTAATTACCATGGCTAATCTGATTGGTCCAAATTAAACAATTTTCAAAGCGCTAGACAATGACAATCTCACATGGACATTTTGAAAGGTTGATGTTGCTTTTAACTAATGTTAAAATATTTTTTAAAATTCAATTTAAACATTTTTTAAAAATCTTTTTAAAATTAAAGAAATAAGAAATAATTGTATTAAAAATTAAATTTTCATTGAAAAAATTTTTTGCTTTCAGAAAATATTGTCCATATTCATAAAAACAAATTAAAACAAATAAAAGCATTTGAAACTAAATAATATATTTGTTTTATTGAGTTTTGTATGTTACAATTCACAGCTGATTTTCAGGTACGTTGGCCAAAAAAAAAAAAAAAAAACATGATTTGCATTCTTCAAAGCCTTGTGCTTTTAACTATTGTAATCACTAAAACCGATGGTCTCGAATTTCTAGAGTTTTTCATAAAATTAGTTATGGGGTGTTAATAAATATAAAAAAAATATTTCTGCCATGACTTTAATAAAAAAATAACATATTTATAATAATTTCGATCATCTGTGAATAGTTTCTGAAAGTTTCATTAACATCTGACAATTATTTTTTATTTTGCAAGATTTTCCAAATTAATGTGTGTAAATACAAAAAACGAGCTAAAAATTATCTATGTTATTTACTACCCTTGTTGTGACAAAGAGAAACAAGGTTTTTTAAATCAAAATTTAGAATATTCTAAAAGATGGAAAAATTTTAAAATAATTAAAAAAAATTTAGTCTATCCTCTTCATAAAAAACATAAGCATTTTGACGATAAAATTTTGTTTTCATAAACTTTGAGCATCTTTTTCATGAAGACTATGCTCTATGTTTTAGCGATTCCGTGGAGTGACTTAGGTTAAAAAACCCAGGTTGTTTGTGTGTGTGTGTGTTTCTTTATATATGGGATCGGATTTCTTACATTTTCAGCTGATAAAACAAACATCCACTTTTTTTTTTTTTTTTGGCAGGTAGTATTTCTTATTGTCTTGCACTTTTTTTTTCTTTATTTATACATTCAGAATGCTTTAAAATTCCATTTACAAAACAATTGTTTATAATAAAATTCTAATTCTATTCAATCGGGGACTCATCATAACGATATTGAAAACAATGTTTTTGTTTGAGTTTGACCAATTCATAAAAAAAAAAAAAAAACTAAGACATGCATGTCCGTCAACCTAAACAATAATCTAATGATCTCTACTGATTGTACGAATCGAAAAAATCGGATAATTCTTTATCTTTAGGAAAGATAATTCCACGTACTTTAGGGCCGTTTTACAATTCCCTTTGCAATTTGTTACAAGGCAGATCAATAAGGCATTGGTTCTATTTGAAATTAATTCAATATTTAAAAGAAAGTATTAAGAAATAATTTAAAAATGCTGACGTAAGAAATCTGATAGACAAAAAACAACAATATTTCGAAGATGATAATTATTAAGGAAAGAACACAGTACTTGTAATAAATTAATAAACCCAAATAAAGTTAATATTTTTTGTATTAGAAACAACGAGTGGAAAATATATTCAAATCAGAATTCTAATTATGAATCACCACAAGTAAAATATGCAATTTTTTTTACTGTATTCAATAAGTAAAAATCATAAATTGTAAAAGATTACAGAGAAAGGCTACCTACATTTTTCAACCGATTTCAACAAAACTTCAAGAATGCTTTAAAAATTCCATTTACAAAACAATTGTTTATAATAAAATTCTATTCACCAATCGATAGACTCATAACGATTGTAAACAATGTTTTTGTTTGAATTTGGGTTTGACCAATTCGTAAAAAAAAAAAAAAAAAACTAATTAAGACATGTGTGTCCGTCAACCTTAAACAATAATCTTTGTCAATTTTATTTTTCAGTCTTTATGATGGTCGATACTTGATCTATCTCTTACTGTTACATCCCCGGGCAACGCCAGGCTCTACTGCTAGTACTCTTTAAGTAACACACATTAAATTAGAGGCTAACATTTCTAATAACTGTATATGAATAAAAGCTAAAACTTTGCAAATTAATAATTTGATATGTGTTTCAAATGCTGTCTAATTTTTATCTTTCTCTATAAATTATAAGTTAATTGAATTTTGTTTTAATTGGTATCCCCCACCCCAGTAGTAATGTTATATCTTATTAATAATTTCTAGTAAAAAGAGATTTTTATTTTGTCTGAAACTGATTAAGAGAGTGTCTTCTAATAATATATCCACTATAATTTGAATCTATTTAATTTGTTTGTTTTATAAATTTTAATTTATACATATTTTTAAAGTTTTTCTTTCACAATCACTACAGAGTATTTATAGTTTCTAAACAGTCACCCATTTAATTACTGATCTTTTTTATCAATGCTTAACTTTAATTATCAGGCAGCAACCATTGCCTTCAATATGATTTGGCTGTAAGCCAAGGTTATTCTTAAATAGACATGGTGCCAATGAAAATAGTATTCAATATATGTGTATAAATGCTGAAGTAATTGGCATATTTATTGATTGCTAGAATTAAATCAGTGGTTTGAAAATGGGAATGCAAATATATCGACTTGAGTAGAAATTGATTCTAAAAAGTTAATCAAGTGTGGAAAGAGAAATTATTGGTGATCTATCTGGTTCAACAATGATATATATGTGCAGGGATGAATGTGGAGCCCAATGTGTGAATGGCAAAGACATCCACAATAGGGACTGAGTAACTGGCCAGCAGGTTTGGATGGTTCTAATATACTGACTTTTTGAATAGACCTCATTGACACTCTCATATCAGTTTGTCTCAAATGTCTGTAGCTTTGCTTGGGGATTATTTCAATGTGGGTGCTGTTGGCCTTGATGCAGGCTTTCTCTTTCCTTTAGAGAGCTTGCCATAAAGAAGTTGCTTTGGGATTCTGCTATTGTCCATCCAGATAACATGTCCTGTCCATCGGAGTTGAGCTTTCAGGATCATGGCTTCAGTGTTATTGGTTTCTGTGTGGTCCAGATCCTATCCAGGATAGCGCACAAGCTTCGCATCAGAAAGTGCTCCAACAGTTTGATGTACTGTCTATCCAAGGTCTAGGTTACACATCCATTAAAAAGGCTAGTGAGGACAACTGTTTTGTAGACAATGAGCATGATGAACTGCTGAATGTTGTGTTTATTCAGAATATAAGGTTGCAATCTGACCAGGGTTTAACTTGCATTGCAGATCCTGGTATTGATCTCTTTGTAAAAGGGAGCCTTTGTTGGAAATGAAACTTCCAAGGTACTTGAATTCCTCCACAGCCTTCAGCTCTGTTCCCTTCATTGAGATGGTTGGATAGTGGCCTGTTGTGGGTGGGTTGGGCTGGACTGTTTTCCTGACACTGATGGTAAGGCCAAACAAGTGGGACCCTTCAGTAAACTTACTGACAATGATCTGTATGGTAGAATCTGTGTGTACCATGAGGGCACAATAATTCAGCAAAGAGGGTCTTCAGTATCAATTTCTTGATTGTCTTTGTTTTTGTACTGATGTAACAGAGGTGAAAGAGAGACCTGTTTAGTCTATACCTGGTGCACCCTCCATCCTCTATGTCTCTGACAGTGTGGTTGAGAACACAAGCAAAGAAGAGGTTAAAAGCACTAGATCAGAATGGAAATGTAAACATATTGAGTTGAGCAGAAATTAATTCTAAAAAGTTAATCAAATGTGGGAAAAAATTAAAGAATATAAGTAAACCAAACTGGATACACTTTTTAACAGTGTGTGTCTGTGTGTGTGTGTGTATATATATATATAGAGAGAGAGAGAGAGAGTGAGCGTGTTAGTTTTTGAAGCCAAAATTGCTGATTTTTCAATGAATTGCTGATAGAAAGGCATTTAAGTGAAAAAGGAAAAATAATACACTCATACCACAATATATAAGTATAAAATTTGAGAAATATCAGCAGAGTAGTCCAATTCCACTCCGAAGAGTAGTCACATGCCTATGTGACCCCAAAAATCCAAAGTCAGCATGTCAGAAATACTGCTCAGTTAAGTGAAAAAACTGTTTCATATTAATTCTGTGTTTATATATATATATATATATATATATATATATATATATATATATAAAATCAAGAACAATATTGGGAAAAGTGTATGACGAAGTGGAAAAAGTTTACTTGTGATATGTTTCCTCCTTTAGGACTTCATCAGACTAAATTTGTTATGCTGGTAGGACTACACATGTGCATGAATGAGGAGTGCTGGGGATTTTAGAAGTTTTTAGAATTTTTTTTTGTTTATCTAGCTAAATTCATTTAGAGTCTTTTTCTTTTCATCACTTTTCTTAGTAGGTATCCCACACTGTGGTATGATCTGCCAGGAATGAGGAAACATTATAAGAACCAGGATGCAAATTTATTGTACTTTACCTTGTGATTAAGGCACTCTCCAGATATTTATGTCATAGTGAATTGTTTTCTCCTTTGATCAGAGTAGCATTTTTTTTTATCTCAAAATTGTGGTCTACAGTAGACAACTAACACATTTGATGTATTGTTTTGTAAAATGTCCCTTTTGTGTTCATAATAAACTTTTATTTAGATTCCTTGAAGTTTCTATGACAATTTTTACTTAGATTCCTTGAAGTTTCTATGACAATTTTTATTTAGATTCCTTGAAGTTTCTGTGACAATTATTACAGGTAATGGAGTAAATTCCTCCTTCATATATATATATATATATATATATATATATATATATATATATATATATATGTGTGTGTGTGTGGGAGTGACTACAGAAATATATATGGACAGCATTAGGGATCTAAACTAAAATACACTTATATGAAAACATTTCAATGAATATGAAGGAACAAATATAACCAGATTGAGTTCAATACAGAATTTGATAAAATGTATTTTAAAAAAATTTCCTTTTTTTTATATTTTATTAAAAAACAGTTTCTGTAAACTTTCTCTAATGCCAAGCATGATTATGTTCTTTTTTTGTAGCAATGGTACACCGGGCAAACAAAACTGATATGTGATTGGTTGACTGAGAGGTTAGACTTAAGTCTACACCCTTACCAACTTACATGTATTATGACCATTAATAAGGTAAGTAAAATAGATGTAAAAACTATTATATAGTTAATTATATTATAATTTTGACTGTAAAGATCACACAGCTTTATGATGAAAAATAAAATTTAGAAACATATTTTAAAAAAATCAAATAATTGTTTCCAAACAATAAATTTTGGAATTACATCAAAGAAAAAACATTTAATGTTTTCTTATATGAAAGAGTAAAAATCAAGTATTGTTGTCATATCTGGGTGGGAGTTACCAAGACCTCACTCTTCAGGTTTGATAGACTTCAAAAGCATCTCTGAGCCTTTGTTGGTGACGAATTATTCTCTACCCTCCAACCCTTCTCCAACAGGTGGGATGTGGCAAGCCTCTTGCTTCTCTGCCGCTCCTTCCATGGAAAGTGTATGGGTAGGTGAACTAAATTCCCTGGTCCTACAAAGGCAAACCTTCATGACAAGAACACAACATGTCACTTACATAGTAGCAAGCCACCCACATTCCCTCCATATTCTGTCGGTTCCACCCAAGCACATTCTTCCCTTGAACCATTGCCCTGTGGAATCAACTCCCAACAGGATGTTTCCCCGATCAACATAATCTTAACCTATTCAAAGCTAGAGCTAATCGTTATCTCCCTTACCTATACACACAAATGGCCGCCTAACATAACCCTCTGTCTCAGATGGCCCTTAGGCCTTGTAAAAGTGACCCTGTTAAAAAAAAAAAAGAAAAATTATATATTCACAAACCCTTTCTTGTAGACAAAACATTGAAAGCCTCTCATTACTGTATCGCTATTTCCATTCTCTTCATCTATTAGTCAGGCTTTATCAGACCCAAAAACAAAAGAATGAAATGTGTAGTTATGTGTATGCTTAAATAATAAATCTTCATACTTTTTCCCTAAGTTGGCATTTCACATGATTAAAGAAGAAAGAAAATGAGTGACTTTCAAAAAAAATCATTAACATTTATTCTCTATTTTTTCTTTATAATTCTTAGTTCATGTCAAAAGTTGTTAATATATTTTTCTCAGCATTTTTGTATCGATTTAAAGGCAAATCTTCATCTCATTATATGAATAACATGGAAGCAAGAAATTCTGAAATGAATCCAAGGCAAATGCTCATAAAATCCTTCAGAGAAAGAAATGAATCCAAGGCAAAATTCCTTCAGAGAAAAATGAATCCAAGGCAAATGCTCATAAAATCCTTCAGAGAAATTCTGAAATGAATCCAAGGCAAATGCTCATAAAATCCTTCAGAGAAATTCTGAAATGAATCCAAGGCAAATGCTCATAAAATCCTTCAGAGAAATTCTGAAATGAATCCAAGGCAAATGCTCATAAAATCCTTCAGAACGGGTTGAAAAGTTTGATTTTTCACTATTTTAATCAAATTTATTTTCATGAAATGTTTTCATTCATCAAATTTAAAAACTTTTGGAGGGGATTTCTATGTCCTAATTTTCATACCATTCCTAAGGGTATTTGTGTTTAAGTGAATGCAACAAACTCATTGAAAATTTGAACTTGGTACAATTATTCTACTTTCTGCACGGATAACTGCTGTGTTACACACTCATCCATTCATGAAATAAAGACAGTTATAAATGTAGAATTAGAAATTGATAACTGTCTATATTATATCTATAATTATAAATGATTTAAATTATAATTACAAATCAAAATTATGTTAAAAAAAAAAAAAACGATATATAAATGTTGATGAATTATCATTTTAATATTTTTTTTTTCTCTAAGTATTACGTATCAAATTATAAGTATTGTAGAAGAATGAAAATTAAAAAAAAAAATAATAAACATAATCAAAAATAAATAATTTAATTTTCCCATAATGCAAATGGAAACCAAAAAAGGGGTTTCCGATCACATGTAAAGTTTGTAATCCCACTTCCAGAAAGGAGATCATCTAGTGTCTGGATACTTTCGAATAGTTGCATTTGGACATGTTTTGCAGTGGTCCTAAGGAAAGGAGATTCAGTCACCCTCATGTTGACTTGAGGCCCACCCACTCTCTTACCTTCTTGTTAATACACACATGTGCATCAATAAAAAACTGACCCTTAATTTTCCCAACCAAGTTTTTGTGTTATTTATTATGGTCCAATGACATTACCATCTTCTGATACCTGACAAAAAACCAAATACCAACCCACAACAGTATATTATGTCTCTTGATTAGTTTGAAAAAAAAAAAAAGGGATAAACAATGTTCAACCTATACAAGGTGCAAATGCCACTCAAGATAAAAGGTTACTGAAGGCAGTTATTGTATGAATGGTAAGATTAAGAGGCATAGTTTTATGTGGGAAAGATAATGGTTAACCCTAGAGGCTAAGATTGCAGTGGTCAGAAAAATATACTCCTAGGATTCCATTCCACAAAGCAACAATTTTTGTAAAGAAGCTAACTGAGTGGAAGTTATGTCTTACTAATGGAACATGAAGGGAATCAGGGTGGATTGTCTCAAAGTATACAGCATGGTGGATTCTAGCTTGGAGGTTTAAAGTTGGTGGAACTAAGGAATGGAGCTCATCTGAACATTTTCCATGGAAATAACGATAGAGTAGAAAGAGACTTAGCTGTAAAGGTCTGAACTGGTGGAAATAAGTTTAAACTGAGCCTTTTTTTTTTTTTTTACATATATTAAAACTATAATTATAAACTATTATAAGAAATGTTAAAATTTCACTCAAATATGTTGAAAATTTCCAAGTTCTCCTTTGAAATTAAGAAAATATGAACTTTAAGCAATATGGTCAAAATATATGAGAAAAAAGAAGGCATCAGTTTAAACTGACATCAGTAGGATATGGGTTAAATTAATACATTTTAGATGTACTTTAATCAGTTCCCATGGCACTCATGCATTGTTTTTTTGACTTACATACAAAATTCTTACATATGAAACTTTTATTCTCATACAGTTACCTTTTATTGTAACTGGATAAAGCAAAATGGAAGTTTTATTTATTGCCTCGTGTTTTATTGATTTTTGTTTCATTCATCTTTAGAAGATCAGTAACATAGTGTGTATTTGAACTGTACTCTTTAATGTTGACCTTGTTTCATTTCATTTTTATTTCTTTAGAAATATTACTCAGATTTTGAATTACAAGGAGTTCCTGAAACTGTTCTTAACAGCAAAACATACCAGACAATATGCAGTCGCTTACAGGTTCGTATTTGTTTACTTTTCAAACTGTTTATATCAACAGTACTATTAAATCTATAAAGATCCTAATTATAATAAAAAAAAACATTCTTTTGTCTTGAGAGTAAAAAGAATGAATAGAAAATATATTGACTTTGTCTGTACAAAAGAAATTATTTCTTTTGAGCATACCATAGTCAAAGTACTATTGTAAAATTAAACTATTTTTCTCATTCTTTTTTAAAAATTAATGATGACTATTAAAATGTCACTTTTAAAATGTTCATGATAAAAATGTCTTTGAAAATTTAATGATAATAATTTCCTTTTTAAAAATGTAAATAAGTACTTCCTTTCTTTAAATGATAGCAAATAGACATTTTTCTATCTAAATTCAAAGGCCAAAGAATTAGAAACAGTTACTTAATAATTAGTTCTTCTCTTTGTCTGATTTATGGTTAATAAACATTTTTATATCTCAAATGAAATACCAATGAATTAGAAACAGTTACTGTGATAGGATTGGTGTAGCTATTAGATAACATAAAGAGAGCTATAACTATAGCTCACAGGCAACTTTGTGTCAGTGTACGTAGAATATGTATGGCTACTAAGTTTGATCCTCATAACACAATAGTGTCGCTTGATGGGGCTTTGTTGAACACAGAACTTGAAAACATAAAGATTTGGATAAAATGCTTTGAGGCACATTCCAGAATAAAGAAGTTATGAGATGATCAAATACCTGAAGGACATAAAATAATCCTGGATCTATTTTTGGTCACTGTGAGATGTGAAGCCATAAAGCAGATTTCATCACTGACTTACCCAGCTGAAATTAAAAACTTGACATTTAAGGAAGTCAAAGAAATAATATTGGGAAATATTGAACCAAAGAAAAGATTGATCATAGCTGAACAAACCAAATTCTTAGCATTGAAACAAGAATTTGAGGAGTCTATAAGGAAATATCTAAGAATGTTAAGAGATACAAGCAGATATTGTGAATTTCATGAACTAAGACAACAGGGAATAAGCAAGGAGGAAGAATTAATTCAACTCCATTTGGTAGAAGGACTGTATAACATCTCTTATAGAGTAAAAATTTTAGAGTGATTACAGACAAACCAAATGATTTTAGAAGCTTGTATTGACTATGTAGAACAAGAGGAATTAATTGAAAAATTTAATACAAATGAAAACCAACCTGAGCTTATGGACACATGTGCAGTAAAAAGAATAATGATAAAATGCAGATATTGCAACTATAAACATGAATCAAAGAGAGAGAAATGTCCAGCATGGGGACAGACATGTAATAAGTGCAAAAAGAAAAATCACTTTCAAATCATATGTAGATGATGAGATACCAATGTAAAAACTGTCAAAATAATACATGACAATGTAAAAAGTCAAACAAATGTTTTCTCAATAGAAAGGAGAAACAATAACAGCATCTTCACAAATATTAAATTAAATGGTGTAGACTTAAAAATGCAAGTTGACATTGGAAGCGAAGTGACCCTTATTCCGAAGAATTTTTGGGAACAATTATTGAAACCAAAATTAAAGAAAAGCTTAGTAAGATTAAGACAGTTTGATGGAATGTGTTTAAAAATATTAGGGTCCTTTCAAAGCACTTTAAAACAGAAAATGGATTTGAAACTGTCACTATTATGGTTGTAGACTGTATAAAAAGTCATGGTTTATTAGGAGCTGATTTGATAAGTATTGATAACACATGCTACTTAATGCTATGAATATGGGAAGTCCCAAAACCAGGCCACTAAAAAACTATAAAGTGAACTTTAAGTTAAAAGGAAATATCAATCCATCTTATTTTTAAAG